CGTCGGGTGAGGTTGTGTCTCTCTCTGGCGGGAGGTAAGCTTGGCTTATATGGCTTATATACATAGTTTGGGCTTTGTCGAGTAAAGCTTAAACTATGTATTTAGATTGTAGTTAGGTATTGTAGGTAGTTATCGTGGGTTGTTGTATGTAATTATTGTAGGTTAGTATTGTATTCGGCTGAGCCCGGTGAAGCACGAAGCTAGCTAACCCACTACATGGACTAGCTGGCGGGTAGCTACTGGTAACTATTAGCAACTGTGGATAGTTGTTTCACGCCTGAGAGTGCCTGTAATTACGCCAGCTAGCTGCCTACAATAATTACATACAATAATACCTACCATTCAGCTGTTTTCTAACCTCATTGTCTGAAGCGTTAACGTTAGGTAGTAAGTGGCTACTGTGCTTGATATTTAGCTAGCTTGTTGCTACATGGATAGCTACTAGTAAACAATAGCTGGAACGACCTAGCGAACAGATGCAAACTGTCTGAGTCAATTCAGTGGCTAGCTTTGCACTTGGTTAGCTAACAGTAGCTGCTAGGGGTAAGTTATAACCTACATTTGTGTTTTGTTTTTACATACTGGTAGCCAGAGTCGTTCAAGGGAATTCAGGACATGGGTGACTAGTTAACGTTAGCTTGGCTCTCTCTGTGTGTTCGTGCCGTGGGAGGAGGGGTTTCTTCTTTGTCTGAAAGTAATGGCTAGCTAGTATGCTAACTATTCTAGCTAACTAACTGGCTGAATAAGTTGACGACGGACTCGCTCAAGCTGTCGGGACTAACCCACAACGTTAGACACAGACACGAATGATCTGCTTGGCGTGTTGACACACTGGTGGTTTGTTGTGGCCAAGTATTGGTGCTAAACCGTGTTGTTGGAGTCCAGCATGCTAGTTGGCTGTGGTGTCATATGACTAGGTGCCCTGGACGATTTTCACGGAAGAATACTGTACCAAGTTAGCTAGCTGAATAAACTAAGTTAGTCTATTCCTAGAAAACATTGAACCGCTGTAGTTTACAACAATTATAATTTCTGAGGTGGAAGTTTGGAGAGTTATATTTGGGTGTTTCAGTGAAACGTAAGTGAGGGAGGCCCCGCTCTCTCCTTTCCCAGATGTTTAGTTCATTTCATTCCGATCTCCTTTGCATTATTGTAGCCATTTTCTGTAGCCTGTCAACTATGCCTCTGTCTATCCCTGTTCTCTCCTATCCGCACAGGCTATACAAACGCCTCACACTGCGTGGCTGCTGCCTCTCTAACCTGGTGGTCCCTGCACGCACCACCCACGTGGAGTTCCAGGTCTCAGGCAGCCTCTGGAACTGCCGTTCTGCTGCCAACAAGGCAGAGTTCATCTCAGCCTATGCTACCCTCCAGTCCCTCGACTTCTTGGCGCTGACGGAAACATGGATTATCACTGAAAACACTGCTACTCCTACTGCTCTCTCCTTGTCTGACCATGTGTTCTCGCATACCCCGAGAGCATCTGGTCAGCGGGGTGGTGGCACAGGAATCCTCATCTCTCCCAAGTGGACATTCTCTCTTTTTCCCCTGACCCATCTGTCTATCTTCTCATTTGAATTCCATGCTGTCACAGTCACTAGCCCATTCAAGCTTAACATCCTTGTCATTTATCGCCCTCCAGGTTCCCTTGGAGAGTTCATCAATGAGCTTGACGCCTTGATGAGTTCCTTTCCTGAGGATGGCTCACCCCTCATAGTTCTGGGTGACTTCAACCTCCCTACGTCTACCTTTGACTCATTTCTCTCTGCCTCCTTCTTTCCACTCCTCTCCTCTTTTGACCTCACCCTCTCACCGTCCCCCCCTACTCACAAGGCAGGCAATACGCTTGACCTCATCTTTACTAGATGCTGTTCTTCTACTAATCTCACTGCAACTCCCCTCCATGTCTCCGACCACTACTTTGACTCTCTATGTCCCCTATCCTCCCGGCCAGCTCGGTCCTCTCTCCTGCTCCGTGGCTTGATGACTCATTGAGAGCTCACAGAACAGGATTCCGGGCAGCCGAGCGGAAATTGAGGAAAACTAGACTCCCTGCGGACCTGGCATATTTTCACTCACTCCTATCTACATTTTCTTCATCTGTTTCTGCTGCGAAAGCCACTTTCTACCACTCTAAATTACAAGCATCTGCCTCTAACCCTAGGAAGCTCTTTGCCACCTTCTCCTCCCTGCTGAAACCTCCTCCCCCTCCCCCCTCTCTGTGAATGACTTCGTCAACCATTTTGAAAAGAAGGTTGACGACATCCGATCCTCGTTTGTTAAGCCAAATGACACTGCTGGTCCTGCTCACACTGCCCTACCCTATGCTTTGACTTCTTTCTCCCCTCTCTCTCCAGATAAAATCTTGCGACTTGTGACGGCCGGCCGCCCGACAACCTGCCCGCTTGACCCTATCCCCCCCCCCTCTCTTCTCCAGACCATCTCCGGTGACCTTCTCCCTTACCTCACCTCGCTCATCAACTCATCCTTGACCGCTGGCTATGTCCCTTCAGTCTTCAAGAGAGCGAGAGTTGCACCCCTTCTCAAAAAAACAACACTCAATCCCTCTGATGTCAACAACTACAGACCAGTATCCCTTCTTTCTTTTCTCTCCAAAACTCTTGAGCGTGCCATCTTTAGCCAACTCTCTTGCTATCTCTCTCAGAATGACCTTCTTTATCCAAACCATTCAGGTTTCAAGACTGGTCATTCAACTGAGACTGCTCTTCTCTGTGTCACGGAGGCTCTCCGCACTGCTAAAGCTAACTCTCGCTCCTCTGCTCTTGTCCTTCTAGACCTGTCTGCTGCCTTTGATACTGTGAACCATCAGATCCTCCTCTCCACCCTCTCCGAGCAACTCCGGCGCGGCTCACTCTTGGATTGCGTCCTACCTGACCGGTCACTCCTACCAAGTGGCGTGGCGAGAATCTGTCTCCGCACCACGTGCTCTCACCACTGGTGTCCCCCAGGGCTCAGTTCTAGGCCCTCTCCTATTCTCGCTATACACCAAGTCACTTGGCTCTGTCATATCCTCACATGGCCTCTCCTATCATTGCTACGCAGACGACACACAACTAATCTTCTCCTTTCCCCCTTCTGATAACCAGGTGGCGAATCGCATCTCTGCATGTCTGGCAGACATATCAGTGTGGATGACGGATCACCACCTCAAGCTGAACCTCGGCAAGACGGAGCTGCTCTTCCTCCCGGGGAAGGACTGCCCGTTCCATGATCTCGCCATCACGGTTGACAACTCTGTTGTGTCCTCCTCCCAGAGTGCGAAGAACCTTGGCGTGACCCTGGACAACACCCTGTCGTTCTCCGCTAACATCAAGGCAGTGACCCGATCCTGTAGGTTCATGCTCTACAACATTCGGAGAGTACGACCCTGCCTTACACAGGAAGCGGCACAGGTCCTAATCCAGGCACTTGTCATCTCCCGTCTGGATTACTGCAACTCGCTGTTGGCTGGGCTCCCTGCCTGTGCCATTAAACCCCTACAACTCATCCAGAATGCTGCAGCCCGTCTGGTGTTCAACCTTCCCAAGTTCTCTCACGTCACCCCGCTCCTCCGCACACTCCACTGGCTTCCAGTTGAAGCTCGCATCTGCTACAAGACCATGGTGCTTGCCTACAGAGCTGTGAGGGGAACGGCACCGCCGTACCTTCAGGCTCTGATCAGTCCCTACACCCAAACGAGGGCATTGCGTTCATCCACCTCTGGCCTGCTGGCCCCCCTACCTCTGCGGAAGCACAGTTCCCGCTCAGCCCAGTCAAAACTGTTCGCGTTCCCCAATGGTGGAACAAGCTCCCTCACGACGCCAGGACAGCGGAGTCACTCACCACCTTCCGGAGACACTTGAAACCCCACCTCATTAAGGAATACCTGGGATAGGATAAAGTAATCCTTCTACCCCCCCTTACCCCACCCAAAAAAAAATAAAAAAACATATTGTAAAGTGGTTATCCCACTGGCTATAAGGTGAATGCACCAATTTGTAAGTCGCTCTGGATAAGAGCGTCTGCTAAATGACGTAAATGTAATGTAATGTAACATAACAAAATGTGTAAAAAGTCAAGGGGTCTGAATACTTTCCGAATGCACTGTATCCGAGTCATATCTGTATAATATTAGATTAGCCTAAAAGCTATTTTGGCTAGGCCACCCTGTAGCGTGGTTGAACGCATTAGATCAAGCACACAGACCCAAGCTTACAACAACAAATTAGGTCATCTCCTGATACAGTTGACTTTGTAGTAGGCTTATCAGATCTCTAATCATAGCAGTGTTCTGGTCCCTATAGTGTGTGTCACAAATGGCACCCTATTCCATATATAGTGCATAACTTTTGACCAGAGCCCTAGTCAAAAGAAGTGCACTATTTAGAGAATAGGATGCCATTTGAGAGACATGTGACTCGATGACGGTCTGCACATTATTACTTCAGGAAAGGTAGGAAGGATGCATTTGTAAAGTATTTCAACAGGGCCCAATATATTTACATAGGATTGAGTTTACATAATTTGGGGTGATTTTGGGGGAAAGTGAGGATTACACTCCACAAATCACCAGACATTATGGGGACATCACTGAGGTCTCCATCTCTACGTAGCTCTATTGCCTTAATGTGGATTCATAATTGCCATCAAACCAAATCGCACAGTGAACAAAGGTACAGATGTAAGCGTATTTAGTGATAAATCAAGGACCACACGACATATCACATTGGTCTACTGTTAGATGCTTCATTGCCTCTAGGTTGATGTGTTCCAACATCCACACTAGGCACACCACTTAGAATGCATATCTTTTGTGTGGGTTCTACTTGAGAACCCTGAGTAGAATGGCTGTCAGTTCTAGAACCTATAACACTGCAGGTCTACTATGGATCAGAGAGACAAGACCCTTCAAAAACCCTCAGTTGTGAGAAAACACAATGAAAGGCCAGGATTCAATCCGATCGTGCTTTGTCGACAATGCGCCATTTAAAGGACAATTTCCGATTGAGCCGACATATGCAGTGTTCACCGTTAATGCGGTCTCCACAAACACGGGAACATTGCCTTTAAAAGGTGCATTCGGATTGAATCCCGGCCGAAGTCCGTTCATCTGTTTGTGGCTATTGTTGACAGGGAAAAGTAGAAGGGTGAGTCCATCCCCATTTCTCTCTCTCTTTCTCCCTCTACTCCCCCCATTAACGGTCTGGTCGTTGGAGGCAGAAGACTTTGGCCTGGTGGTCTCCAGAGGCAGTGACCGCCATAGATGCTTCTCTGTGAGGGAGGAGAGAGAGTCAGAGAGGAGAACAGGAGCTCAACGCCGTTAAACACACACCTTTCTGGCTCAAGTAAGTAAAATACAAGTTCCCCATAACCACTGATACAGGGTCAGACATTTTGTTCATAAGCCTAATTGAAAAGGTTAGGATCTGTGATTAGCGGCAACTTAGGTGTGTGTGTGTACCTGTTGAGTGTGAAGTCGAGGATCTCCGCCTGGTGGCCGCGGTACTCTGACACCATGGTCCCGGAGCGGGCGTCCCACAGCCTCACCGCACCGTCCAGACTGCAGGTGGACACCACAGAGGAGGACTCCTCCCACTGCAGATGAACAATGCCAGCCTGAGACACACACAAAGTCAGTTATAGAGCATTTATAAAGGCATATGAAAGTAGCAGAGCAACATATCTCTACAATCGATAATTGGGGGTTTGGTTGTGATTTGAGAGCTTGTTGGATGGCTGGTTTCTTACCTGGTGCTGGCACTTGTGTCGGAGGACCTGTGAGGAGAGGTCATAGATAGCCAGGGTCCCATCCAGATACGCCACCGCTATCAGGGGCAACCTGGACAAGAGAACATGGCATCATTCAAAACAAGGCAACTGTTACGCACTTTATTACATGTAGTTAATTTATGGTTAACTTATGATTCTGGTCTTATGTTAAAAACATGATGACTGATGTTAAAAACATGAAGTCTTACACATTGCAGAACCCCACTGACTCCACCGAGTTGGTCTCCTCAGCATCCTCCAGAGAGGCTTTGGCTTTGCCCCCGTCCACGGAGAACACACCCAACACCTACACACCCCATTAGATATGTTCCAGTTATAGAGCATATAAGAACGGATACCAAAGTAGCAGGAAAGCACATCTCTAAAACCCATAACATGTTGGTCCATTGAACACATGACAAACATAACTGTTTCTTGTGAATAATGCATGTCAATCTCCCCATGCCATCACTTCATCTCTCCCACCATGTAAACCCAGAAGTACTGTTTTCATTCCCACTATCCTCTGTATGGGTTTTCTACCATAGCTACAGTAGTTCTCTAGCCTACAGTAGTTATGTTCTCTATAATACAGTAGTTATGTGCTCTCTATAATACAGTAGTTATGTGCTCTCTATAATACAGTAGTTATGTGTTCTCTATAATACAGTAGTTAAGTGCTCTCTATAATACAGTAGTTATGTGCTCTCTATAATACAGTAGTTATGTGCTCTCTATAATACAGTAGTTATGTGCTCTCTATAATACAGTAGTTATGTGCTCTCTATAATACAGTAGTTATGTGCTCTCTATAATACAGTAGTTATGTGCTCTCTATAATACAGTAGTTATGTGCTCTCTATAATACAGTAGTTATGTGCTCTCTATAATACAGTAGTTATGTGCTCTCTATAATACAGTAGTTATGTGCTCTCTATAATACAGTAGTTATGTGCTCTCTATAATACAGTAGTTATGTGCTCTCTATAATACAGTAGTTATGTGCTCTCTATAATACAGTAGTTATGTGCTCTCTATAATACAGTAGTTATGTGTTCTCTATAATACAGTAGTTATGTGTTCTCCATCATGCAGTAGTGCCCGCTGCCCACCTTGCCAGTGGCAGTGTTGATGAGCTTGGCACAGCCGTCCACGGAGCCCGTCAGCACCAGAGAGCCGTCCTTGTTACAGGCCAGGCACGTCAGCGCCCCCTGGTGCCCATCATGACCTGAGGTTGCCAGAGAAGCGAGGAGACAGTTGAGTGGGGGTAGACGTTATAATAAATAATAATAATATGCCATTTAGCAGACGCTTTTATCCAAAGCGACTTACAGTCATGCGTGCATACATTTTTTTTTTTGTGTATGGGTGGTCCCGGGGATCGAACCCACTACCTTGGCGTTACAAGCGCCGTGCTCTACCAGCTGAGCTACAGAGGACCACGTTGTCCCTAACCGCTGGTCCAGTGCCAGTTATTATTATTTTATCCTCAGAAAAATCAAGATTAGGATTTGGGGTTTGGTCATCTGATCTAGATATAAAGTAAGCTATGTACACTGATAAAAACATCCCACACTGATTTTCATGAGGTCATGCACACTTAACCCCCCTGGCCATGACACATATCCTGCCGTCTGGCAGTAGTGGGGATTGTCACATACTCTGTTCAGGAGTGTGACAGCTTGGCCAAACTTACCTTTAATCACATGGGTGGCGTTTCCCTGCTTCAGGTCCCAAAGTCGTACGTTCCCATCTCCATAGCCCACCACAGCTCTCTTCCCTGTGGAGAAAAGACAAACGTTGTTACATGTTCAACCTTGGCAGCACAGATCATGGCAGTGTCCTGTGCTGAATTGTCCTTTATTCTTGACTGGGGAGACGGTCTCACCGTCTGGGAGGACCTTTCCACTGGTTGCCTGGCAGCCGGGGCCCTGCAGGGTCTTACAGTCACCCCCTGGGATCTTCCACATCCAAACGTTACCGTCCGCCATGCCCGCCAGCAGCACTGGGGCGCAGGGGTGCCACTCCAGCCACTAACAAACACACACAGCAACATCAGATGACAAAACTTGATTTAAATACCTAGCTTAAATCAGGCTGACTCAGGTGTGGCAGCGTGTTCCTGCTGGGCTACAACATATATGTGCACCCTGTTTTGGGCCGGGCTGCGTTCTTCCTCACCTCCAGGTCTCCCACCTCGAAGGACCACACCTCCTGCTTGGTCTCCACCTTCCAGACCTTGATCAGCCCGCTCATGTCCCCCGTGGCCACCAGGGAAGAGTCATGACTGAATAGAACACTCGTCACAGAGTCCTTATGGCCTACGGTAGTGGAAAAAGAAGGACTGGGGTTTAATATTGGGTGAAACGCAAAGCTTTGTTTATTCTGAGCTCATCTATTTGAGCTCAAATGTCCTATTGGGAGGTCATAGCTAAAGCAAAACCACAACATAACTAATTGATGACAGCTTGGGGTCTCACCTGTGCATTCAAACAGCACTTCCCCGTCACTCACTCTCCAGACATAGGCCTTGTCGTCCTCTCCTCCGGTCACAGCCAAGCTGTTAGTGGCTGGGTCCAGACTCACACAGAATACAGATCCTGGAAAACACAAGTCAATGTGACAACAGAAAAAAAGAGACCCACTGCCACTGATAATACGTTGTGAAGAGACTGAAGAAAAGCACTATCCAGGTGATAGAGTTAGCTAGCTAGTACCAGTGTGTTTGGAAAAGGTGAGTTCGCTGTCGTCTTGTTCTTTTTCCTGCTCCATCTCGTCGTCGGTATCCCAGTCTTCCTGTTCATCGTCTCCGTCCCCAGCGTCTCCGACGTCCACGTCCTCGAACTCATCCGCCAAATCATCTATGTCGGTCAAAAAGTGAGGTATTACTGTACTTGCCACACATGTACCTATCTTAGTTTTACACAGTACCGCGACATTAACTCATAGAAGATCAAACCAAGACATTGCCACCAGCGTCCAAGTGACAACTTATGTTGCTCAATCAATGACAGTCCATGTGGCAAGTCCTCATACAGTTATATGGGCATTAGCTAAACCACACCCCTTGAAGCATCTGATTCTGACCAACTAGCTAGCTAAACATACAACCATCATTACCTGGGCTTTGCTCTGTTTCGTTTAGGTCGATGACTTCTATGATCTCTTCATCCCCGTGGAACTGTACCGAATTTTCGTCCGAGTTATCCATCATAGCTAACTTACCTAGCTAGCTAGATGTTACCAAGGTGGCTAAATTAGCTGCCTAACTTGGGCGCTCAAACGTTTGCTAGCGCAATAAATGTTGAATTCAGGTTAAGAAAATATGTTAAGTCAATCACAGTAAACGCTAAAGATTCTTCATTCTTGGTGCTGACCGTAGAATAAATACTAGCTAGAGAGAAAAATTCTAAATAGTGTCCCCATGTTTTCTTCACATGTGGGGAACTCTCCGGAATTCTCTGGCACTCCGTGATGACGTCAATTAAACATTTGATATGATTGGTGTTTCGCCGTTCAGCTTGACACGCCCCCTTCATAGTAACAACCAATCCATGCCAAAGTGGGCGGGACTTCAACATGAATACTTCATCGGAGAGGAACCTCCTACCTTGTTCACTAGATGGCACAATAACACCATTATCATCATGCTGGCTTTCATCCTTACCCTCTTCTAATATAGTGTTTCCCAACTCCGGCCGTTGAGTACCCCCAACTGCACACATTTTTGTTGTAGCGCCGGAAAAAAACACCTGATTCAACTTGTCAAGGGCTTGATGATTAGTTGACAAGTAGAATCGGGTGTGCTTGTCCTGGGCCACAACAAAAATATGTGCTGTTGGGGTACTCGGGACCAGAGTTGGGAAACACTGTTCAAATATAATATTTTTTGGGATAAGAACGTCTGCTAAATGACTTAAATGTAAATGTAATCTGAAATGATCTGAAAACAGAATAGGTGAAAGATGGCGCAACTTCCACCTACCCTATCGGTTCTGCTAACGTACTGTATATCTATCCAGTCATCTAAGGACTAGGGAGTAGTATGCGTTAGGGCCTAGGGGTCGATTTGGAATTGGGCCCCATGTGAATTTATTTGTATCTAATTGGCTATCCAATCAGACATAAGCAATTACGACATGTGACTTTTGGAAAACAGGTTCCCTCAATAATGCAACTGATTTTTTCCATCATAAAAGAGGCACTATGGGTGCTCTTATATCCAGTCTAGGCCTCTCGTAGTTCTTACAAACAGCCTGTCACCGTGAGTATAACCATGTTTCGGTTTTTCACTTGTCCTCTTCCATATTTTGATTTAAAGTGTAAGTGCCCTGGTATTTCTGTTAACTGTGCAAATGGTGTGCCTGTGGCATTGTAGTGAGTACCAGCTGAAGGATTAGGTCTACCTCTTTGCATCCACAACTGTTCACAGGAGGGCTTGTATACTGAGGCTACACGATACACTTGAGTGAATGCTTGAATCCTTTCAACAGCCCACTAAAATATGTACTTTGCTTGTCAGAAACTGCAAGATGTCTGGTCGTGGAAAGAAAGCTGTCTCCAAATTGAAGAAGACTCCCACAAGCCGCTCTGCCAGGGCAGGTCTCCAGTTTCCTGTAGCCCGAATTCACCGTCTGCTGAAGAAGGGCAATTACGCTGCCCGCATCGGTGTAGGAGCGGCAGTCTATCTCGCTGCCATACTGGAGTATCTCTGCGCTGAAGTCCTGGAGCTGTCGGGCAACGCAGCCCGTGACAACAAGAAGTCGCGCATTACTCCACGGCACATCCAACTGGCTGTGCGGAACGATGAAGAGCTGAACACTCTGTTCGGCGCGGTCACCATATCGGAGGGTGGTGTCCTTCCAAACATCCAAGCCATATTGCTCCCCAAGAAGACCAAACGACCTAAAGACGACGGCAGCCATGCCAAAGACGTCCAGTCTCAAGAGTTTTAAAATATACCTTACAATCTTTTACCGCAAACTTGTCCCTTTTACACTGTTTTCCTTAATAAATGACTAATTTAAAGAATTTGTCTTTAGTGTTGCCTAGCTGATGCACTGCGATTTCCAGACATATGTAGCGTTTATTGAGGAAATTGTGTTTCAAACTACATAATTAGTCAGGGCTGGGGTCAATTCAGGAAGTGATTTGAATTAAGTCCCAACATTACATTTTAGTCATTTAGCAGACGCTCTTATCCAGAGCGACTTACAGTTAGTGAGTGCATACATTTTTTTTTTCTCATACTGGTCCCCCGTGGGAATCGAACCCACAACCCATGCTCTACCAACTGAGCTACACGGAACAATGACACACTTTTTGCCAAATGGCTTCTCAGTTTGAGAAGTTACATTTTTATTAAAGCCCCTTCGCTCGACTAGGAATTTCAATTTACTTCCTGATTTGACTGACCTCAATTTGAATTGACCCCAACCCTGCAAGGAATGAGGTAGGCCTACTGGTTTCATTGGTGAAAACTAATTCCCTGGTATTGAGTGGGGCTCCAACATGCACTTAACTGGGCTACTAGTGTGACTTGTTTCGGTGTAAAACTAGGGCGTTGCAGAACTCTACGCTTAATGGTTTAGTCTCCATCCAAAAAGCCGGTGTAACTGCTTTAAGGACGTAACTTGCGCTCACTCCTCAGCTAGCTTGAAATGTGGCTAGAGCATCCAATTGGTACCGTTTGGGTGGCTCAACCTGTTGAACTGTTAATTAGAGCGGTCGTGACGCAGAGGACCACTGGTTCGAGCCCAGTATGGGGCAGTCGGACAATGGAGAAAGCTCAGCTGTTAGCAGCACGCTGACCCCTGTTACACAGGGATGGGGAAAACAATTTAAAATTACATGGGAGAATTTTCCATATTCAATATAGAGAAACCCTCCCTGGCTTTAATCAACTCTCCGAGCCCTGGGCATGCTAGCCAAACCTTTTAAACGTCATTGAGCTCCTTTCCATATCTAAGAGTGGCTGCCATGTACTCTTATTATACATGAAAGCACTCTGTGTGTTTTCCCCGTTCAGGGCCGTCTGTGTACTTGGTCTGGGCTTACTTCGGCCTGCTCCTGAGTCTTTGATCCTGCGGTGCAGGCCTGGCATAGGGCTGCCTGCCGGCATCGTGCCGAGGAGGGTTTCACTGACGGGCAGATCTTCAGCGTGGACAAACACTACAGTACTGCACCACGATAAGGTAATCCGTTTGAGGGAAACCTGGGTAGAATGGTTTTAGGTACACAAATGCTGCACCTATGAGGAGGCATATTTTGTGTTTTTTTATGGCTTGATATTACTTCAAATGTACTATTAGTACAAAATGTTTATCAATAGTTATGTCAGATGTGATATGTTTATGTATGATAATGAGAGGATTTCCTCTAGCAAAGGAAATGTAGGCAACATGATGTATTATTCCTCATTTCTTCTTTGTCAATCCATTTAAGTTCCCAATTTGTCTAGAAGTCACATGAAACAATGCTTTTCAGGTCTCTACTTTTGTCCTATGTGCTCAGACATATGCGATAACTGAACTGTGGGTGGGCTTCTTTAAACTGTCCATAGGGATGACTTAACAGTCAGACGCCAGAATCAGTCATAACAGCTGATGTCAGTTTATCACAAAAATGAGCCTGTTTAATACTGACACTCTGGGATGCTGTAACAACACACACATATTGTACATGCACATAAGCAAGCACTCACACACACACACACTGTAATTCCAGGCTCCTTTTCTAGGGCCTGGAAGCTGTTAGAGGGAGGGGGAACATAATGAGTATGCAGGTCTGGGATCCTTTGGTGGAAACTTGTGGACTAGTTGGCTCTACTGTTAAAGCCTTGCTCTGCTTTTCTTTAACGAGGACACTTTATGGCCGTTTTAACACTTTACAGCCCCCCATTTCCCTTTCATAGTTTCCATTTGCGAACATATAGGTGAGATTTTGTTTTTTAATTTTCTCTTATGTAGGGCAGTGGTTCTCAAACTTCTCCTCGGGGACCCACAGACATTTCACAATTTTGTTTTAGCCCTGTACTAGTTCATCTGATTAATCTAATCAAGGGTTTGATTATTAGTTGACAAGTTGAATCAGGTGTACTAGCTCTGGAATAGATCAAATACATGGAACGGCTGGGGGTCCCCGAGGAGAGGTTTGGAACGGCTGGGGGGCCCGAGGAGAGGTTTGGAACGGCTGGGGGCCCCGAGGAGAGGTTTGGAACGGCTGGGGGCCCCGAGGAGAGGTTTGGAACGGCTGGGGGTCCCCGAGGAGATGTTTGGAACGGCTGGGGGTCCCCGAGGAGAGGTTTGGAACGGCTGGGGGTCCCGAGGAGAGGTTTGGAACGGCTGGGGGTCCCCGAGGAGAGGTTTGGAACGGCTGGGGTCCCGAGGAGGTGGGGGGTCCCGAGGAGAGGTTTGGAACGGCTGGGGGTCCCCGAGGAGAGGTTTGGAACGGCTGGGGGCCCCGAGGAGAGGTTTGGAACGGCTGGGGGTCCCCGAGGAGAGGTTTGGAACGGCTGGGGGTCCCCGAGGAGAGGTTTGAGAACCACTTTTTTTTCACTCACATGACGTTCTGTATGACACATGCTACAAATAATGAGCATGGCTTAGTCGGCCTAGTTCACAGATTGTGGCTTCACTGCTGTCATAGCCCAGTTGATGTCTGGACAGAATACACTTTGCCAGTAACGTGTGAACAGGCCAGATGCTGGTGTTGGGAATTGATGGTGGAATTTAGAATCCTTGTCTTAGTTTGTGTGAAACATATTCACACCAGTCTTACATAGTGTATATGGGTCTATATGACTCTGACCGGCCCATCAATGCTAGACATACAGTGAGGGAAAAAAGTATTTGATCCCCTTCTGATTTTGTAAGTTTGCCCACTGACAAAGAAATGATCAGTCTATCATTTTAATGGTAGGTTTATTTGAACAGTGAGAGACAGAATAACAACAACAAAATCCAGAAAAACGCATGTCAAAAATGTTATAAATTGATTTGCATTTTAATGAGGGAAATAAGTATTTTACCCCCTCTCAATCAGAAAGATTTCTGGCTCCCAGGTGTCTTTTATACTGGTAACGAGCTGAGATTAGGAGCACACTCTTAAAGGGAGTGCTCCTAATCTCAGCTTGTTACCTGTATAAAAGACACCTGTCCACAGAAGCAATCAATCAGTCAGATTCCAAACTCTCCACCATGGCCAAGACCAATGAGCTCTCCAAGGATGTCAGGGACAAGATTGTAGACCTACACAAGGCTGGAATGGGCTACAAGACCATCGCCAAGCAGCTTGGTGAGAAGGTGACAACAGTTGGCACGATTATTTGCAAATGGAAGAAACACAAAGCACTGTCAATCTCCCTCAGCCTGGGGCTCCATGCAAGATCTCACCTCGTGGAGTTGCAATGATCATGAGAACGGTGAGGAATCAGCCCAGAAATACACGGGAGGATCTTGTCAA